CGTATTTTCCTCATTTTTATTTTACATCTAATTACCTGTTTTCCGCGAAAGCTCTCGGTATTTATTGAAATTCGAACGATTTCTATTTTTAATTCTCTCACGCCTTTTTGTTGCCATGGTTAAAACGAATTTGCTTTAACTCACATCTCACAGAGTCGCTCATTTGTGACGTTTGTCTTAGTTCTGTGTCAGAATGTAAGAATTAAGTTCAATTAAGGGGACAAGCACATTTTCATATTAACATGATGAATGTCTTAAAAGAACATGAATTGTATTTCTTTGTCAAGACCCGACGAGAAGGGAACCATTTGCTTGAGTGTGCAGCTTTAAAAAAAAAAAAGGCGAGACCTGGATGTTACTGTGTATGATTTGCTGCTCTCGACGGTGTTATTGCTTCAAAATGCTAGAGGTGCCTTGTTCATTTTTCTGTGCCTAAGGAAGTAGTCAGTGAGTGAGACCACACAAAAACCAGAACCTGCTGATTTTCCATTTCACATTTCAATGTATTACTCCAGCAATGACACAGCTCACATGAAAGTATCTTAATGACACAAGCTACAATGCACTTTTTGGGCTGAGTGTGTGCCCCCCCCCCGACAAGCTGACTCTTAGCCCCCGGAGACAAGTTATCTCATGTGCTCTCATCACCAGACGCATAAAAAAATAACAGAACCTGTGCTCATGTAATCCGCTCTGGTTTACACATGTTCAGATGCCAGGCTAGTAGACAAAAATCCTCTCACTCTGTCCTGCTGCACAATGAAACATTCTTATCTGTTCCCAAAAATCATTGTAGTTAATAAAATGTATTGTACAACATTGCATCCGAGGATGAAAAACCAAAAGGCATCTACTGAGAGGGTGACGAGCCATTTGTTTGTTCAAACAAGTCCTGTAGCTCGGAATCATTTTTAATTATTGAGGTGGTTAATATTAACTTGTACTAAATTCTTTATTTTATGATGTAATTTATTGTTTTCTATGTACAGTATGTGTACCATTTCAGCATATTACCCCTGTTCCCTCTGTAATCAGCTGATGTCGAGTTTCTGACGAGGAGCAACGAATAAAATATTGCTATTATTTAAAAAGGTGTGAACTTTGGAGGGTTTTTTATAAGCATATATACAATGTGGCTCGTTCTATGACAAGAAGCTTATGCTAATGTTGGCTAATTTTAGGTAGATATCATCTCTGCCAATGAGGTAATGTTTGTTTGTGAACAGGATTACACAAAAACTACTTGATGGATTTCCATGAAACTCAGTGGAAGGATCGGCCATGGTCCAAGAAAGAACCCATCCAGTTTTGGAGTAGATCCAGACAAAGAGACGGTTCCAGAAATTGTATCCAACTATCTTTAAGACTGATTTTTTAAAAATATTTTCACTGAATGAAATAATTCATGGATCTTGATGATAAAAATCAGGCATATTAACGGAGTCTGTGAAATTTGGTGCAGCTAGATTTAACTCTTAGTAGAGGTAGAGTTATATATATATATAATATGACCAATTAATCCCTGAAGGGAGCACCAGAAAACAACCTACTGTTGGATTACAAATGCAACAATAAAAATAAAACTGCATAACTGACAGAACTGGAAAAAGGCGACAGGTAAAAGCAGTAATATAACTTTAATTATTCAATTATTTGTTTTTTAATGTAAAAAACATACAATATATAACAACAACCCCTTGCGGGATATATGCTTTCACAGTAAATGTCACATTAGCTTGACAATACTACAAAATTTCTGAAGAAAAAAAAATGTTTTGGCCATGAAAGCCTCATTTTCTGAGAAAAACTAAATGTTGCCATGATGTCGGCAGCGGCGCTTCAGTAATCAGTGACACGCCAGATACATATGATAATACATCCAGTCTTAGCTACTGTTTAACTCATTCTTGTAGGACGTGACACTGCGTTTCTCTTGATGCATGGAGGAGTCGAGGAGTTGAAATAGCTGCAGACATATTAAAGCGCACATTACTGAGAGTAGCAGCCGGACTTATGAGGAGCTGGAGGCTGAGAGACACGATTACCTCGAGTCAGAAAACAACAAAATGCATCTTAAAAAAAACATAAAAGAGGAAAAAATACATCTGAGTTTCTCAGAGAGAAGAGGCAGTGAGATGATGACATAAACATGTCACAACATCAGGCAAATTCAAAAGAATAGCATCCCGTTATTTCAGCTATGTGCTTTCAATACTGGGGAAAATATTGATTGAAAATGATAAATTATCAGCTGGTTCTGTCTGGAGGTCAATAAACTGCAGAAAATATTCAGCACTATGTTTGACTTCATTCATAGGAAAAGTGCAAAAACGGGGCGACACATCTTTTCCAACAAAAATCCCAAATTAACATTCATCCAACTTAAAATAGTACATAATACTAACTTTTTTGTGTCATATTATAGATGCAATATAGTAAATTGTATTGTTTCCTGCAAAGAAATCCTCTTTTAGCTTGCACCCTGCAGGAATATTGAGGTGCTGAGTCAGCAGTCATGGAGCTGGTACAGATTTAATGTCTTGCTCAAGGACACTTAAAGACCGGTAAACCAAAACCAGCTATTAGTTTGTTAACATTCTAGACATGTCAATAAGTGATCCAGCCAATCTAGTCTCACCGCTGTGATCAGTCTTAAAAGCAGCCTCCGAAGGATGCAGCCCCTGAATTGAGACGCGGCTAGTGTCAGAACGTGAACCGAGGGCGCCCCCATCAGGCCGCATTTCAATGCATAACGCTGATTGACTTAATGCTTGTAAATAATAGTTTGGTTAAATTGCACCTCCAAAACATAAAAAAAAATACTACAACAACAACACATTTTAACTGTACGTGAGAATATGCGCTTTACAAGCCCCATGCATTCATTCACAATCGTGAGGTGAAATCAGCAGAGACGGACGGATTCATGAGAACACCTATCATGAAATACAGACTTGCAGCAGCCCTCCATGGTTTACATTGATCAGCGTACGACTGATGAGGTTTGAAAAGGAACAAAAGGCAGAAAAAAAAAATTGTTCAGTGGTCCTCATGTCCGCTAACATCTCAGGTGCTTCTTGCTGGACATGTCATTCCAAATGCGGTGCATCTCCTCCGGGGAGATCTGGTGGACGGTGATAACCCGTCTGTACCTGCACAGACTGTAGGCCATTTTCCAGTGATTGAAACCACTGTTCTGATAAGGGTGAATACCCAGCTTACGCAAGCACAGTCCCACGTACACATCCTCAAGGTGCAACAGTCTCGTGTGGAGTGAAGTCTTGTAGATTAGCTCGGCCACATCTGCTGAGAACACGTAGCCAGTGCCCGAGCAGAAAGGAGGGTATTTATTCTCAGGGTACAAGTCTCTGGGCATGTACCACTTACTGCGCATATCCCTGATGGGCCCGCCATTTATCACGTAGCCAGTGAAATACCTTCTCCTCGGCTTGGTGGTGGGCTTCAGGAGCTTGTAAATCAGATTGTCCATGTTGACGAAGATGTCGCTGTCTGTCTTCATGATGTACTGCGCCTTGGGGCAAAAGGTAGCCACCCAGCGCATACCCATCATGGTCTTTAGAGTGAGGTTGTGGTACGAATCGATAAAGTTCTCCACCACAATGTCGTGAAAGATCTGACTCTCCTGCTCCACCATCTGGTTCAGGACGGAGTCCGTGTTCCTCCCCAGCAGGAAGATGGTGAGGATGCGGATGTCGCCGAAGGTGCTCTCGTCGCCCCATGTCTCCCGGATGGCCTGCCGCGCATCAAACTCCTTGTGCGTGGTGCTGATGAGGATGACCAGGAAGGGAGCGTCGCTTTCGCACTTTTTGGGCTCGTTGATGACAAACTCAAAGGTGTGTGGGTTGAGGGGGCGGGTGCGGATGTTGTTGAAGGTGATGTTTTTGGGCGGTTTCACATTCTTCCGTATGGACAGGGACATGTGGCCGACGTATGTGGATGTCGGGCGAGATATACTCAGGTACCACAGAGCACTCGCCCAGCAAACCACTGTCAGCAGGTATAAACATGACACCTTTGAAGGCATTATGCTGCATTGAGGTGTGTTTTGACAATTTGGATCTTATAAGGCTTTCTTTCTATTAGCCAAGGTTCACCCAGCGAGGCAGCCTTAAGCTGCTCCAGCGTGCAGTTTGACATTAATTGTGAGTAATGGATTACTTTAGAGAGAAGTGATGCTGCTTGCGTCTTAATGCAAAGGGCTTCAATATTGTATGGAGGTCCAGTTTCTCTTCTTGACACTGCTGGTCCTCCATTTACATCTGAAAGAGACAGAAAATAATGTGTATCAGAGCGGTGCTGAAAAATGTACATTTGGATAAAACATGACAGAGTTTTTTAGAAATCCAGTTCAGTCAGTTGTTGCATCTCCTATAAGATATATATATACAATAAATCAATAAATAACCTCAAGGACTGTGGACACGCTGCAGAGAAACCTGATCTATTGAACTTATCATGTAGGTGTTGGAATCAAAAATCATTAACTAGTCGTTTCTAAAATGAATTTGCTCTCCCTGAGTGAATCTGGTTCGAGAAAGAAACAAACAAGGACTCAGATGAAAAAATGACACCACTTGATGACACTTGTGGGAAAGATTGTGGCGCCATCAGTCGTCTGACAAAACTCACTCGTTGCCAGTCACATTTCTGTTATTCATTGCTGAGATTGTTATTCATTGGCAACATCACTGGCTTGCAACAGACCAAATGCCCACAATATGATTCACATTTTCAGTTTTTTATTTACTTTTCTCTCACGTTTAATGACACACAAAAGGATTTCATGGTTGTGATCTGGTGACATGATCCTGCTGATGTTTTTCATCAGCGTTTTTTTTCTGAAACTGTTTATATTAAATAATATTAGTAAACTGTGAAACATACTCTATTTAAAAGTTTAAGTCCTGCATTGAAGCATCTCTACTTTTATACATTATTATATTTTTACTTCCACAGAGGAGCTTAGTTTTATTTTTGTTTATTTGTATGTTTTTTAAGTCAAAATTACAGATTACCTCAAAACTTGGAGGAAGGATGTGACACAGTCCAAAAAGAAAACATTACACTTTGGTGCAGACCCAGACAAAGGGTGGATCCAGAAATTATGTTTCACTGCTACAACACAGCTTTTTTAATATTTTCACCATGGATCTTGAATTAAGAATCAGGGATTCATTTGGGCGTTTGCATTTGATTGTGTTGGGCCTTGGCGGAGGTTTGCACTCTTTGTTCTAATTACATCTGATACACCAATATACAAGTAGATATTCACTATACGTTAGTCAAATTGGACCTGACTTATACTGTTGATTAGCCTCATATTCAAATTAAAAACCTTGGTAAATAACTTATGACTGCAGCTGTCAAATAAGTGTTGACAGTATTATATGGTGGCACAAAGGGAACACTGTGCCATGACGTGCTTCTCCCCTGGGGTGTGTTTTCTTCTCCTCCTCAGTTTGTTCAGTGCTGCACTGCTGTACCGGCTGCTTGTTACTGAGCTGACAGATATTTGGCACGTCTCGTCTCTGAGCATCGTCATTCTGCAGCACGGACGGTGACATTTGTTTTGTGCCTGTGCGCAGGTGGATGAGCACCGACAGTGTGTGGAAGCATGTAGATCCTGTATCCCTTTGAAGTGACTCGCTTTTCCATCCTGTGACGGCAGATCAGACGACGCTCTTCTCAGAGGAACCGTCATAATGCAATACATATCTACATTTTCATCTTCAAAGCTGAAGAGCAGACAAATCAAAACATAATGACATGATATGGATTCAATTTACTGCCATTACCTGCACTCTATACCCATATTGTAAACAAAGGAACTCTGTTAGACTGGAACATGGACAACCAGACACATAACAATGCCCTTTCTTTTCTTTGTCACAGGTTTTTATCTACAGACCATGAGGAATACACCATCTCCTTTTGCTCTGCGACTGAATCTATATAGTTTGTTTTGTGTGACATCTCCAGAATAGATTCTCTAACAGCACATTATCAGTCACAAAAGCTGCTACTTCTCGGTTTATTTTGTTCTGAACCATTTTCCCCAGAGTCTTTCAGCAAAACTCTCTTACTTGAGAGTATTTGTTCCCAATATCAGACCGCTCCTCCTTTTGTAAAATGACTGTCGGATCTCACAAGACTGGGAAAAGCAAACAATTGTTTCTATCAACGGCAGTTTACTCAGACACAAGACACACACAGACACACACAGACACACGCACACTGACACTCACACACACACACACACATACAGACACGCCAATATTTTCTGGAACCTGAGGAGCCTGGAGGGTCAGGTGCAGTGAGGACAACCACTCCCTTTTTAAATTAATAACACAGCAAAAAGAAAAACCTTGTTGTCTATAACTGTACACATGCAGCTACTGCGCTCCCACGTTATCGCTGTGAAAACTCATTTTCCAGACTAGAGCAAAAATATTTATGAGACAGAACTGTGGCAATGTTTATGTGACGAGTCTGAAAAACATAACCTCCGGTGGCTTTTCAGAACAAACATTTTTAATCTGGCCCGGGTCTCTCATGTGCACGAACACCACAAGATTAAACAGACTCCCCAGTTTGTCCCCGACTCTGATTCATATGGAAGAAAGTGCATTTCGTTGCTAGTGAATGTCTCTCATTAATTAGTTGGTAATGAACTGAGGATGCTCTCTGCATTAGTAAAAACTGAAGTGGAGGAATTACATAATGGCCTGTTGCACCAGAGTCGACAAAAACAGCCTTGCTGACAAAATGTGGCTTTGGGAAACAGCTCAGTTACAGCTCCATATTTTCACATATTTTTTTAATGTCACACAATCAAACCAAATGATAAACTAAATGACTCATCTGCGTGATGATTATGCATAACTGCAGATGCCTCATGAGATATGAGTGGATTACAAAGACAGTATAAATGGAACTAGGAGAATTAGGAGAATTAGGAGACAGTATCAGCCCTAAAATAGTGAGGTATGTGGAAAATAGAGAAAAATGAGGTGGGGGCTTAAGAGAGTTGTTGAGAGATTATGTTCAGGTTGAACTGTGAGCAACAGTCTGATCTTAAGAGACGCTGCATAATCATTTCTGCTCTGATACCACTTCACCGAACAACAATTTCTGACCTCAAATGCATCATGTAAAGAAAAGCTGGATTTTTTCAATAGCAATTTATATCCTTTTTATTTTATAAGCGCTTTTAAAAGAACAAAATGTGCAAGGAACAATTTTCAAAACATATTCAATGATGTGTGGCTTTGCTCAACGCTAACAGTAAACAAGGGATGACTTAAAAGTGCACTTTACTGAATCGGGAATTGTGTATTGATGTTGGACATATAATTGAAATTTGAAATATCTGAGCCCTCTGTCAGAGAAAATGTTCCCTTCAGACTCCACTCTGTCCAAGAGTTAATTAATAATGACTTCTATTGTCACTTCATATCCAGCACCTGGACCACAGTAAATGTCAGGTTCAGTCAGTGGTTGTCTGCTGGTGAAGCTCAGACGTGGCGGCCCATGTCTCGGTCACTGTAGCATGGAGCACACCTCTGCTGAGCCATTACTCCAATCAGTTTCCATCATGGTGGAAGTCACACTGCGAGTCAGTGTTAAAATCTGCTGCTCTGTGTGACCAGGTTGTTCTGGTGATTGGCAGAAAGAATATAATATATATTATGGTCTCTATAAGGGGGAGGAACAGGTGTAGGTGGTGGCACCTCTGAGCACTGGACCTTCAGGACATGAAGCAAACTGCAGAAACACAGCGGGGAGGGGAATGAAATGGGGAAATAATTAGCCTGTACTCCAACAGAGACCCAATTTATCATGATTTATTACATAGCAAGAGGTAAACTTGCACAGGGAACACAGCACAAAGACAGCCATTCATCAAGACATGACAGTGCTTTCTCTAAGCCTCTGGCCTGACTGTTTGGTGGACTGGCTTCTAAAAAGGGCCATTACACTCTCCTCTGCACAACCAAAATGTTTTGATTCATGGCCCCATGACCGTCTATTGACAGGTCTCTAAAGTGTATTTCCAACAACAGCGCATATGAACTAATAGATTGCCAGATTGAATTAACTGCTTCACATTAAGCTTGTTGCTTATTGAAGAGAGCCTGTGCCAAAAAAATGTAAACTGATTACCTTGGCTTTCATTAGACACTCACACATTTAATCACATTACACACACACACACACACACACACACNACACACACACACACACACACACACACACACACACACACACACACACACATTATTGACAGAACTTAACATAACAATATCAATTTAACTTTAGCTTTCATTTTTTTAGTCTTACTGCGCTCTGCATGAAGACAACATAATATCTACATCATGCTGTTTTATGGAAACTCCTCTGCATCACTACAGGTTCACTCGTATATGGATGATGTTATGAAGGTTGGATTTCAGCTTAGTGGCGGATCAAGTATTTTCCTGAATCCCAATTTACACAGACGGGTCAGTTTGACAACATCCATGCAGAGTTGTTGCTTCACTAATGTTCACATTTAAGTCATTCCTTGTTTACTGTTAGCTCTATAGCTTTGAGCAAAGCCAGACATCATTGAATATATTTTGAAAACCTTTCAAGTGCATTGTGTACTTCAAAAAAAACTTAGTTAGAGTTAAACTTTCTGTTGGTAGGTGACTAGTTTATCTGAAAATCGAGACATACTGCACTGCAGCTGTATGCCTCGGCCAACCAGTGCAGATTCTGTCTTAATAATTTCATTTTCCAGATTCATAAGGTCACCGCCACTTTGTCCTTTGGCTACCAAAATCAAATGAGTTCATCCATGAGGCCAAGTGAAAGTGTATTATATATATATAATATGTGTGAGGTCACAGTCACCTTGACCTTTAACCTTTGACCCTGCCCCTGGATCCACCCCTGTCACTTATGTTGATCCCATCCTCAGACTTTTAATTTAAGTTTTTAGTTTCATCTTCTTCCACAATGACAAGTAATTGAATGAAATATGAAACACTGATGACAGGACCGCCTGATGGAGCGGAGATGTGTGGAAAATGATATTAAAATAGAAGCACGGCGAGGGGTAAAGTCTCAAATCTCCCCGCTCAGCACTCTGCTCCTGAACGCCACATTATAAGCTTACAGCCCAGATTTCAGTGACCTTGGGAAAAGGGGAGTGATTGTGAGCACACTTTGAAAGCTATTCACAGACGTCGTTCACAACATTTACTTGGACCTAGTT